TACCTATAAATCAAACATGATACAATATTTTATTTGTATAAAATGGTAGTTCTGAAAAAGGAGTCCGAGTTTTGGCTTCAATTTATGATTACAACGGCCCCTTTATATTACTCTATGTGATGAACTTAATGATTCTAGCAGTGATACTGAAACTGAAAATAACATGGATACACCACCAAAAATTACTGCTTTTGATATTATTAAATTATTAAATTCGTATAATTTAATATCTGCCTTTCCAAATTTATATACAGCATATAAATATGCATGCACAATACCAGCAACATCAGTTTCACGTGAACGGCCTTTTTCTAAATTTAAAATTAGATTAAGATCCACAATGAAACAAAATTTACTGGAACCATTAATGTTACTATCATGTAAAAGAAATATTGACATAAACGAGGATGAAGCTGTTAACAATTATGCAAATAGTTCACAGATATTAAAAGAGGCATTGTTATTTAAATAAAAACAATATTGGATTTTATAATATATTATTTTAATTAAATATTTATATTAAGTACATATTACTATATTACAAAAAAAATAAATACAAATTTAAGATAATGCTTAGTCATTAACAAGTTGACTGCCGAGCCATTTTTATTATAATGGTTCTTAGCGCCGTGAGTACCATAATTGGTATTCAACAATACTTATAACTACGCCAAGGCAAATTTTACAGATTTATCATGTGGGCCTTGGGTATTTTTCAGAGAAATCTAATAATATTTTTGTCGTAATCATTTATTATTATACTACTGATTATAAATAAAAAAAAAAATAAAAATCGGAGTGAGTACCATTTTAGGTATTCAATGCCTATTATATCATAAATTCCTACTCCCGATTACGTTATGGCCACGTGCATGTGCGTATATCGACTTAAAATAGACTATAATATGAAGTTTTCCTTGTAAACTGATAAATATCATTATATCACAATATTGTCGGGACAACAGCAGTGAAGGCTTTAGTATCGTCGCCATCCTAGTGTGATTTTGATCAATTTATTATGTCTTGTTTGTAAAAAAACTCGTACATAAAATACSAAATAAAACATGAATCGTGATCAAATTTTGGCTGCTCTAAGTTCTGATGAAGATGTGTCTGATAATTCATTTGTTGACGATTCAGATGCAGATCCTGATTTCAATTTAAATCTTTCGGTAAGATATTTTAGAAATTATATCCCCCATAAATTATTGTTGTATAGTAGGTAGGTGTTAAGAATTGTTTTTATTGTATGCGTAGGATGATAGTGATTTGGAGTATGTTGATGTTTCTGATTCGAGTGACGATGATACCTCTATTATACCCATTATTCAAACACCAACTCAAACTGAACCAAATTGGGGTCCTGTGAGTGAAAATGTTAGCTGTCCAGTTTTCAATGAACAAAATGAAACGTTTGGAATAAATCCAGATTTATTTGATACTTTAATTGATGGAACGCCATTTGATTTTTTTTCCTTGTTCGTGGATAACGAAATTTTAAGTATATTAGTTAATGAAACTAATAGATACGGAAATAATTTGTGTTCACTTCCTTTACGTCCTAAATCTAGATTGAAAAAATGGACAGAAGTTAATATTGATGAAATGAAAACATTTTTAGATATAGTTATGTGGATGGGGTTAACTCCGCAACCGAGTTTGGCATCATATTGGAGTAAAAGTTATTTATATCGTTCTGAAATCCCAAAATGCATGACCAGAAATCGCTTTGAAATTATTTTAAGAACATTTCACTGTTCAAACAATGCAGAATGCCCTCCAGGTGATAGACTTTTCAAAATTCGTAATTTGGTAGATTTATTGGTGATGAAATTTAAAATGTGGAACGTACCTTCTGAAAATATGTGTATTGATGAATCTGTAATTCCTTTCGTTGGACGATTATCATTTCGTCAATTTATAAAAAATAAACGACATCGATACGGAATAAAAGTATTTAAATTGTGTATTAATGATGGCTATACAATCGGCTTTAAAATTTATGCGGGCCAAGAGTCAGTACCTGGTGTAGGTGTTTCCACTAAAATAGTAATGGAGTTGGCCGAGGACTATTTAGATAAAGGGAGAACAATGTATACTGATAACTGGTACACGTCAGTAACTCTTGCTAATCAACTTCTTAATCGGTCAACGAATTTGGTGGGGACATTACGTTCAAATAGAAAATTTAATCCAGTATCGGTTGTAAAAGCAAAATTWAAAAAAGGAGAAATTATGTCAAGTCAAAGTCAAAATAATATAGTTGTTCTTAAATGGAAAGATAAGCGGGACGTATTAATGCTATCAACCAAACATAAAAATAATACGGTAGTAGTGAATAATAAACGAGGAAAACAAGTTGTAAAACCTCAAATGGTGATTGATTATAACAAAGCAAAAGGGTATGTTGATATTTGTGATTTAAGAAGCTCATATCATTCACCACTTCGGAGGTCATTGAAATGGTATCGAAAAGTCATGTTTGAAATCTTATTGAATACATGTTTATTAAATGCGATGTCTTTGTATACTGCTGTAACTWCAAAAAAAAWTAGTGTAACTCAATTTCGTGAAATTATAATTCATAGTTTGATTAAAAAAATCKAAGTACAACCAAGTGAAGAGAAACATATTCTTATCAATGCGCAACGAGGAAAATGTTATATCTGTTACAAAGAAATGGCTGAACAAGGTGGAAGACAACATGCTCAAAAGATTACACGTAGAGTTCAGACTAAATGTACCAAGTGTTTAAAATATTTTTGTCTAGAATGTTTTTTTAAGACCCATTCATGTAAATTATTGTAAAATCCAATTAAATTTAAATTAAACTTTGCTATTAACATCATTTTATAGAATTTTTTCTGTACTTTTCATTTCAATGGCTAAATTGAGTACCAAATACGGTCTTCAATAGTTTAACACATGTTAAAAGTGAGTACCAATTTTGGCATTCAATGCCTGAGAAATAAGTTAAGTGAATACCAGGATTGGTACTCAAAGCGTGAGTGACAAATAACTTAAAAATAGTATGGCGTAGATAACAAAACTAATGAGTACCAATAATGGTCTTCATGGCAGTCAACTTGTTAAAACTATAAGTCTTAAAACTGCTACCTAAAAGTTTAATTAAGTCTGAAGGTAAATAATGTTATAATTTTTCCCTTATGACATTTGTCATCAAACTACAATATATTTTTCTAGATTTCTTATTTCTTATTAATAATAATAATAATTTTATTTAGCAAAAAYCATATACATTCACACTAATATATGAGAAGCATAAGCTTGTTATGGGGGTTATAAAAGTTGGAGTACAATACAAGATAGGAAAAAAATGATAAACAAATTATTATAAGATTTAGATTAGTAAAACTAATAGAAAAAAAAAGAAAAACATTTTTAGCAAACAGTATAATCACAACACTTATATAACTCAATTTACATACAGTATAAACGCAAATATTTTATAAATTAAGACGTTTTATCATAATTTTAAATATGTGAGATCTAAATTTTCAGAAAAGATTTAAATGTAAAAATATTTCTGTATTTATAAATATTAATATTAAGCTGTCTACATATCAAAGAAGCAGTGGATATATAAMTTTTTAGACCTAATTGCTTTTTAGAGATAGGTACAATAATATTAATATTCTCTTTATATCGAGTGTTATATGAGTGATTAATTCTAGCTAGATTATGTTTAAACATAAACTTGCTATACAGGTTTAAACCTGTATAAGCTTAATAGTATATTTCTATAATATAAACTTTGAAAACATGGAACATTAAGCTCTAAATAAGTGGAATCATTACTATAATACATAGGTCTCACTAGTAAAAATTTAATTAACCTATTAAATGTGATTTTAAGCCTATATGTATGTGAATCATATGCTTGACCCAGGATACAAATACCATAATTAATAATGGTAATATCATATTATTATTATTATTTAAAATTGGTTTATAATAACTAATAAGAAATAAAAAAAATACTTTTTTGAATAGAAAGGTGTAATAAAATTACGGGTGGGGGGGTATAATCATTTTTGAGACGTGGGTGGGTACTAAAAAAATGTATTCGCCCCTATTAAAAAATCTTGTCGCCACGCCACTGAATTCTATGGAAAAGTGGATTTAGGAACCATGCAAAGTAGTAAGGATGATGATCAAGATAATGCCCAAGCAGCAACAAATGCTTTAGTTTTCTTGGCTGTTTGTATAAATGGCCATTGGAAAGTTCCACTTGGATATTTTCTTATTARTAGTTTTTGTAGAAGTGAAAGAGCTAACCTTTTAGCCAAGTGTTTTGAATTAATGAAAGAAACAGGAGCAGTGTGTCATTCAATCACATTTTATGGAGCCCCCAAGCATTGGGTGCAAACTTTGATTACTTCTCTTCATCGTTTAAGCCATGGTTTAACAATCCAGCAACACCAGAACAATCAAATCCAATTTATCTCTTTTGGGATGCAGCTCATATGTTAAAACTAGTTCGCAACGGCAACACTTTAGGTGAGAAACAAGTTTTTATAAATGGTAAAGGAGAAATAATTAGATGGAACCATATTGTTAATTACAAGAACTACAAGATAGTAAAGGTTTGCATGCAGCCAATAAATTAAAAAAGTCATATTCAATATTATGAAAATAAGATGAATGTACGTTTAGCTGTACAAACTTTAAGTAAGAGCGTATGCTGTAGCTTATTATTCTGTGAAGAATTAAAACTATTATCAGGAATAAAAGCAACAGCTGAATTTTGTGAAGTTTTCAACAATGTGTTTGATTTAACTGATTTCCGTAACAAACTGGGAAAAGGTGATTACTATTGTCCAATTAATGACGAAAAGATTAATTATATTAAAGATTTCATGGATTATTTTAAAGACTATATTGAAGGCCTTAAATATTATGATATTAAGAGGACGTGATACCCGCATGTGTTGTCTCCGTCTTACAAATGCGTAAYATGGTAMATTTTTCRCTCAGSAGAAYACGTGTASCYYCGTTAACTTAAAAATTAGAGTGAACTGACCTCTTATAAAATTTAAAGGTAAGATTATTA